ATAAGATTTGTTCCGAATGGTGCATTTTCAAATACTATTAATTAATAGAAAATTTTCAGTTCCCTTTTAAAGATACATCCAAAGAATAAATTATTACAGATGTGTGTAGCAGGCATTTTCAGGAGTTTTCCCCAGGGAGATTTAGTGATTGGTATGTTCTGTTTGGTGCACACATTTTTAATAAGGTTTTATTCTTTGCTCATGACACAGAACTGTGCTTTACAAAAAATATTTGAAATAGTTTTTTAATCAAAAGATTTGCTGTTTAATGCACTCATATTCTTTAAATAAATATAAATATGTGTTATTAAGTACATGTCTCATCATTTTAAGAAAATATAGATCATTGCATGATATGAGAGGGTTATAGTTATAGTTTAGATAAGAATTATCACGTAGTTCAGGGGTGTGCTTAAAGGTTCTTTTGCATTACAAAGGGTTTGCCATCATTGGATTCTAAACTATTAACATCCATTCCTGGAGCCAGATATATTTCTAGAATTATCCATTAAAATCTATATTGTCTTACAAAGATTATTAAGATTTGAAAATGTAAATATGTATCTGAATGACTTTTTAGAGCCTCTACCTTAAGGATACCGGTAACTAAAATAACCCCCTTTGAGACATATTTTTTTTCTTCATCAAATACCCAACTACAAGTAACCAATTTTTTAGATTTGGAAAAAAAAAAGAAAAGCAATTGTCACAATAACAGTCTTATACCTTTCTGCACTCTCGAGGCTACACATTAATCACAAGTAAAATGTATAAATATATATAACATCAAATTTTATAGTTTGTTTATTCTTCAAGTCGTGCTAAATGGACTCATATTCTACCAAGTAAAAGCTTCACTTTGTAAGTTTTTAAACTGGACTTACCCAAAATTGTAGCAAAAAAAATTTTTAAAAATCAAATTTCATTAGTAGTATTTCATTAAAGATTTGAAAATTTAAATAGTTTTTTTAGAGCCTCTACCTTAAGGATAAGTAAAATAACCCCCCTTTTATTTTAATTGATGAACGGCCATAGCTTTAACATTGGTAAATACCGTATTTCTTTTTAAAAAGACATCTTAAAGAAGTTAGATTTGTCTTTAAATCATGGCTTTTAAATGAATTGGCCTTAGCCCCAAATTCAATGTATGCATAAGTTATTAAAAATAATTAATTTTTTATAGGAGAAATTTTTTATTTGTTTTTGGTATTAAAGCGAAGAGTTTTTGACAAGGCCCTAAATTAACATATCGCCTGATAAGCTTTAGAGTTTTTTCAGAATAATAACCAGAGGACCGCGGGTATATTTGCTAGTTAAGAATAAAACTCAACATCCCATTTTTAAGAATTGATAAACAATATTGATAATAAACAATTTCTTACTTCAAATGACCAGCTGCAAGCCGTTCCATCAAGTCTTTCAATATATCTGATGTTGTTAAGGAAATGAAAAAGAACTTTTTAAATAAATAATGTTAGGTGCAAGAAAAAAAACGTAAAAAAAAAGGAGAAAAAAAATATTTTTTTTAGTGGCAGTGGCACATCTTTTTTTTCTTCATCAAATACCCAGCTACAAGTAACCAATTGTTTAGATTTGGGAAAAAAAAAAAGAAAAACAATAGTCAACATAACAGACTTATAGTTTTCTGCGCTTTAGACATAGATTCCTATCTGTAATAAACTTGAGCAATGATTTGATCTTAGTCCACTGCAAACTAATGAATCGCTTTGTATCAGCACTCTTATTAAGCCTTATCGTCAAGAACTAGAAATTTTGATAGAATTTTCATAGAATTTAAGGATGAAATTTTTTTTAATGAAATCAAATATTATTTATAAAAAGCTATTATTTTTTTAAACAAATGTTGGCCAGGTAATATGGTTTGTTATTTCAGATAAAATTGGTTGGATCTGTTCTGTAGGATGTCGGTCCCTGTCTTTAGTCTTAACTATAATTAAGTAAATATCTTTTATAACATTAAAGGATACGATGAAATCGCCCATGTTGTGCCCTAGTCAAAGACCATGCAGGTGGAAATAGGAAAGAAACAGAAGCTCCACGCATAAAAAGTTGTTCAGAGTCTGGTGGATCAAGCTAAAAATGAATACATCGAAATTAATTTAAATAAATGAACCGCTTTGAGCATATGATTATTAATTGAGAATACTTTTCTACTATAATTTACACATAGTACTTTTTAATAAATTAAAAGTAAAAGAGCTTTTTTAAAACAGATTTATAAAAAGAAATGTTTAAAAATAGGAGATTAAATGAAAATTAATTTCAACTATTAGTGTTTTTAAGTTTAACTTAATTTACTCAATTTTAGGCTGAAAAACTCACTTGCAAATGTGGTTGTGATGTGATCCACTTTCCTGAAAATCCTAGACAAGCAATAATGTCTGACTTATGTGGTACCGATCTGAGTAGTCTCTCCTCCATTAAGTCAATATCTTCTTCACTTGTGAAAAGTCGCACTACAAATTTATGGTATAAAGAAAACAGAAAATATTAAGTAAAAGTAAGTATTTAAATTAAGTCTTTCCAGGTCTCTCTGATTCAAAATAATCAGAATAATTAAATTTCTTTGCTAGCAACACCAATTATTGTGCGCTTGATTAATTATATTTTGAAAAAGCAATCAAATTTTTACCCCCATTGTCAACAACACAGTCAACTCCCATTCCCCCAGTCTCCTCAGCCACAGAACTGGACATAATGTTTGTTCTTTGTGTTAACTCAATCAGTTGGGCTAAAAGAAAACAGTTTTGATATTCAATAAATTAAACAGATTAATACAGATTATAGTAGAGCAAAATATCCTAAGAAAAGAGACTAATAATTGTCATTTAGAAAGAAAAAACTGATCATTTAAATAGCCAGGTGATTAAATAAGCGCCTAAGTCCCTACCCCACTGATAAAAGCCCTCCCAATGAAAGGCCCTTAATTTGACTAACCTATTTCACAAGATTCTCAAATATACAGGGTAGGCCACATAAAAACCTGTACACATTCACTATACCCGGTACTGGTATTTCACACAACCATTGATAAAAACAGCCGATCTCGATGCATCACACTTCTGACTACAAACACACCTACTGGTTTTATTTGGTCCCTTTAGTATATATTAAAGAATGTATAAATCTCTATAAACTAAACATACAAATTTTCTTGAATTTTCAACATTGTTTTAATCACCTCTAAATTTATATTATCACTTTTGTATTTCAATAATTGTTATAGCGCTGTCAAGGAAATGGTGAAATGGCCGGGCAGCAAACAATCCCATCCCAAATAACTTGTATGTATGCATAGAGTTACTATGTGAGTATTAGATTCATACTGTATACTTTTTTTAAAAAAATGATACAAATTATTGGATGCATTTAAAATAAACTATAGTTATTTTTAAAAATGACAAATCCAATTTCAAATATGAACAATTTTTACTTAAGTATTTATTTAAATTTAATTATAGCTAAAACTTACCTACAGGTGGTTTAAGACTTTCAAGAAATTGTCTTTCTGCCAGTGTCTTATAAGTTGTAAGTACCTGAGAATATATTTTTTTAGGAATAAAAATTTTCTTAATATCGTTAGGAATGTCTTTGTGTGTTTATGATGAATAATATTAAGCAAGTAAAGAGCTATGGATTGAATTTTATAAATGTGATACATTTATGTATAATAGGAATTAAACAGGAATAATGCCTTTCAAAGAAAGTCTAAAATCGAGACCTGCAAAATAAACCTAAACATTTTTTATCACTGGTACAAATTTTTTAATTATTTTTTTAATTCAATTATTATTAAAAATGCCCTTACAAGTTAACTGTATTTTTGTTTGCACCAGTAATTTTTTTCATGCACTGGAGTTTAACCCACAAACTGTCCATTGTATCATTCTGTACTGTGCTGGCAATTTTTGGGTGCCTTTGAAAAATTTGGTTTTTCACATGCAAATACTATGGCTAGACCCCATAAAGTTTATATTTATTGTAAGTAGACTGAGTGGGGAATCATAATGGCTATTTTTTTAATGATATTCTATGTTTGCTGACCGTGACCTTGACCTTGGAGTGACCAAGAATAAAGAAATGTTTTCCTTTCAAGTCCCTCAAACAATTTTTTGAAGGCATATTATTATAATGTTTACATCTTTCAGAAAATGTATTATTTGTATAAAAATTTTTTTTAAATTTCTTCAGATACCTATAACAAAGCACGACATAAACTATATAAACATTACAAAATAGCAAGAAACAGATAAAATTTACAATGGCTATATAGTTATTTAATCCATAAAATGAAATATGGGAAAACATACATAGAACAACATACAATTATTTTTTGTTGGTACGCTTTCGCTTCTTAAGGCCTTGGTTGGTGACATGTTCAAGTTGAGGCTCACATTTTTCATGGCACCCGACATGACACCAGCATCTTGATCATTTGCGGCCAGGACTTTTTTTCCTATTATTTATGCGGTCACTACATACAAAACAGTCCATTTCTTTCTTCCCATCAAGAAAAACAAGTCTATGATGAATAACAGGAGGTTCAAGGGCAGACAGTTGTACTTCTGCCACTGGCTCTTGCTCACACAATGCCTCAACAATTTAAATGATGAAATTCTCTCTGCTTATGTGCTCTTTGGAAACCATGTTGTATAAGATCCATGAATTCAGTATGGCTGTGTCAATAAGTTTATGGAATATTTTTTCCAGTACCTCCTCATTGACCTTTCAGCAGCATAGTGGTAAATTTTTTTATCGCTGATGTCGACACCACCCATAAAAGAATTGTAATCATAGATTGCGATCGGCTTGTTCCTCTCTTTGCCCTTAACTACTCTTGTTTGTAAGCCAGCTTTATGAGCAGTAGAGAGAAGAATCACTGGCTTTGTACGAGATTTCTTCTCCCTAAAGGCTAATGCCAGAACAGAGCCATCTTCTTTTCTAAAAAAACGGCCTTCGCCAACACCCAGCTTCTCAGACATTGTCCTCGGCATACCTTTAGAGTTGGCCCTGACAGTGCCAGTTAGTAGAGTTTTATTTTGGTACAGATATTCTGCCAGTTTTGGTTTTGTGTAAAAGTTATCAGTGAATAAATGGTAGCCCTTGTTGAGTAAGTTACTCTGGGTGATGAGGGTTTAGACCACTCCAAAGGCTTGGGCTTCATCATGCCTAATGTCAAAGTCCTTTCCACTGTACATTTCTATATGGAACACATAGCCATTGCTGTCACACAGTTGATATTTTTTAATTCCAAATCGAGCATGTCTCTTATTTGGCATATATTGGATGAAAACGCTACGATTTTTCCTTCCAATTAGGCTTTCATCTATGCTGATGTGCCGAGATGGAGTGTAAAGAAATTTCGAGACATGATTTATATGGTCAAGTAGCCATCTGACCTTAGACCAAGGATCAAAACCTTCCTCTCCTCTTTGCTTTTCTTCTTGCACATTATTCATGTGCAGCATCCTTGAAATTAAGATAAATTCTTTATTTATAAGTCATGATGCTATTAAAATATGGTGTTGTCTGTGATCGACGAACTGTCCAGTAAGCATTGAGGCTTTTTTTTCTTTGTTAGTCTCATATTTAATAAAAGTCCAATATAATTTGCTTACTGTCACTCCATCTTTATGCCATTTTCCATATCTTGAGTTTATGAACTGAGAGGCATATCTGTTTGTCTCAGTTTTCAAAACTCTAAAAAATTCATCGTTCAAAAACAAATTCAAAATGTTTTGTGGAACTGGATTCTCAGGTAAGTTCTTGGCTGATTTTGCTTGTCTAACTATAAAACTTAATTCTTCATTGTTAAAATCTGTATCTGCAGTGACTGATATCCAGCCACTATCATCTGCAACATAGTTTGGAACAAGTCCTGTTGTTGGTTCAACATCTTCTTGTTCAAGGCCTAGGTCTAAATCATCCGAACTTTCACTTTCTGATCCACTAGAAAAATAATTGGAATTATCATTGTCTTCGTATGTGATTGGAAAATCATCTTCCGAATCACTTAAATCATTTACTAAAAAGCTATCAAAAAGATTCCTAACTGATTTATTTTTGTAAGCCAGAAGGTCCAGCTATGACCTCATCCATTCCACGGAAATCCACTCACACAAATTTGCTTGAGAAAGATCGTTGTAAAAATAACTCCAAAGTTTAAGAAAAGGACACAGAAGAGCGAAAAAACGGAAATTCGTTTATTAATAAAAGGAAGTAGTTTTATTTGGTGTAAAATATTGGACTGGAACTTATTCTTTCAACACATTTTTTATCGGCCGTTTTTATCGGCCGTTTTTATCGGCCGACACAGTTGGGGAAGAGGAAATCGGACGATGAAAACGGCAAACGACAGTTCGTGGGTTAAGTCAGTCCAAAAGCATGAGAAAGTAGTTATCTAACCTTGGCACCCCAAAGCTGGGCTGCTTGAATGGTGAGATAACCCTGGGGGGTTGCTCCATCTATGACAAGAACAGTATCTCCTGCCGTCACATGACCAAGATAATGAATCGCTGTATAAGCTGAAAGCCCTGCTCCAACAGTTGCTGCAGCCACCTCATGGCTTATACTCAGTGGCTTCTCAGCTGAAAAAGTACATTATGATTTTAGTTAAGAAAACATATGAATAAAGTACAAGTAATAAAAAATTATTTGAGAAAATATTTCTTTAAATCAGAGGATTAATTAAATTGTCTAGACTCTGCTTAACACTAAAAAATGTGAATACTTACTTATATCAAATTGATTTAAAATACACATATCACTGCATCCTGATAAGTTGCTATCCAGAGGTAAAATTCCTGAAAATATTGCAAAAAATTATATTAAAAAATTTATTGAGAGAAATACTGTTGAAATTTAATATATTTTCAAAATCAGTAAGTTTTAGAAATCCACTAGCACCATGAGGCACAGGTAATAAACCAACAGTAGCAGACTTTAAGAAATCCTTAATCACAACTCATGCAAAAACATGTTGTTGTTGTTGTTCGTCCGTCGAAATCGACTAGGACCATTTAGTCAACCGGTTAGGGGGAGGGTGGGTTAAAATGAGCTCATAGGTGGCTTGCTAGACCGATCCGTGCTCGGAATAACCTATGGCACCGCGGGCAGGGGATAGTTGTTGCAGATGGTGAGCTAATGTTGCTTTTTTGGGCCAGCCTGCGTGTCTCAGTTGTGCTTATCCTATTAGCAAAAACATGTACTACTAATGTGATAATGCAATGAACCTAAACCAATAAGATTTTATGATAATCCTATCAAACTATACAAGCTGTGTAAATTTATGACCTATAATCAATTTCAGTTATGGTTGAAAACAGGATTTTTTTTAGATTATCAAATAAAAAAACTTAGTGTAGTGTGGAGACTATGACATGGAGAAGACTAACCTTGTTTGACAAACATAGTGAGACTTAGTGAAATTATTATACAAATTAAATAGGACTGAAACGTCTGTTGATATATTTTGTTAGTTGAGTATTTCATCATTATCATGTCTTGTGTCTCTATAAACCACATTTTAGGACTGAATTAATGCTACTTTTGAGAAAGGCTGGTGACTAAGAAAGTACATTGGTGTCTATTTAATATGTAATAATTTTATCAGTAGATTTGTGGTATGTGGATTGTACTTGTGAACAGATAAATGACAAGGGATGAGCTTGCCATTTCTGTCTTTCTGTGTTTTAAAGACATAAAAAAAAAAAGAAATTACAACTGTTGGTACAGTAATTTTGAAAAACTTATCATCTGGTGGATTCAAAGTGCACATATATTTTCAAGCATTGATTGAGATGAGATATTGTATAACAATGCATCCACACACATACAATTATTTGTCAGTCCTGAAGTCCAGTCACATATTAGTTAATTTTTTAACACTTTGTTTTTAAATTACTGTTTAAGGATATTTTGATATCATTATCATCTCCATAAATCAGCAGTAGCAAACCCATGCCATCTATTCAAATAGTGACAATACAATACATGTTTATGACATAATAAACTTGAAGCAAATCATTTTAAATTAACAAATTGTATGTGAAGAACATCATTGATATGATTTTAGTCTAAAATTAAAAAATAACTTTGAATATTTCAATTTATTTTAAATATGCTTTGTCAAGTAAAAGGCCTATGAAAAGAACATGAGAAAGTTTTGTTTTTTTTAAATACTGGACCTAAATAATGGTCATAATAGTGTCCATCAAAGTAATGTTAATTTACCAACAACAGACATCCCCTCCTTATAAGCATCATCAACAAGTGATCCCACTTTGATAATTTCTCCTGAAATGTCTCTACCCAAAGGACAACCTTTGGTGGATGTTGAAAGAAGTTGGTGGTATATCTGAAAATGCAAAAATATAGTATTAAACGATGGATTTGAAGAGATCTACCGATTTTAATGTTTAGCTTCTATTTTGAAACAGCAGTACTGTTAAAATTTAATACCACAGTTACCTTTTCTTTGTTTAAATCCACAGCACATGCTTTAATCCTAACAAGAACATCATATGACCCAAGTTCTGGTAAACTTTGCTGTAAAAATAAATGAAAAATTGATGAATAAAATCTTAATTTAACATCTCTATTGAGTCCTTTCAATTCAAATATAATATAAATACCGGTACATTGATTGACTTTTATAAAATAAGCTGCACGCCTCCAGTTTTAAATATATATTTAAATATGTTTAAGCTCTTGTGCACAACTGTTTGCTTGTATAGCCAAAAATCATTATAAAATAATTGATGAGGTTAAATTAAGGTACTTTTCCAATTATTCAACACCAGACAATAATCTAAGTTTCAATTGAAATTTTTTGTCATAATAACTATATTTTATTACAGGATGTTTCTGAGAAATGGTGTGCTGAAGTCATATTACTTTAACTTTTAATAATTTCATATCAGGAGGTTGACTAATATGTATCATGGCTCATTAAAGTTTTTGAAAGCCATCAATATCATCTTTGCTGTTTGTATACATGGATAAAGGAGAATAATTTTACTATATTAAAGCTTAAGTATTACTGGTATTAGAACTGATATTTTTCCTTTGGTGAAATTTAATTACAGGAAGTCCATGGGATATGAATGGCATACTAAACCACACTTAAAAAATAAGAGATACATACACATAACAATACATTTGTTCATGTAACCAATGGATACCCTTCTTTGCAACTCCGATCAAATTATTGCAAAACATTAATACACTTTTTAAGAAATTGTCTTTACTTTGTATTAAATCAGATATACTAACAGTGTAAAATATATTATATGTGTTAGTACATTCAATCTAATTAATTATAAAGAATATTTCTTTCGGTATTATATTTTACTAACTTACACTAGATACAAAGTGTATGAAATTATTTTAGTAAAATATAATACCGATATTTAATTTAAACAATAGGGCACATTTTTTGTAAACTCCCAGGTAACATAACTAGACAATTCCTAATATGGAATCCAAAGGGAAAATAAAAGAGAAAAAGGCCTAAGAATACACTTAGGCATGAGCTGGAGGCAGACACACAAAGTATGGGATACACTTAGACGTGAGCTGAAGGCAGACACACAAAGTATGGGATACACCTGGAAGCAACTGGAAAGGAAAACACAGGACTGAGATGAATGGAAAATTCTTGTACACTGCCTATGCCCCAGATGGAGTAAAATTCATAAGTAAGTATATAAATTACACTAGATATAAACTGTATGTAACCGTTCCAAATTAACATACAAAATAAAATTATTAAAGAACAGTCGCATAGGGTTACATTATATCATTTTCTGTTTCGGGTTGATCCTGAAGTGTCAAAGTGTCCTCGTTTTATAGCCATTTTCATTGTTTCTATAGAATAGTAGTTACTATCCTAGTGTCTCATTTGTATTTACTTAGTTTACATGTTTTAATAATTGTAAAGCGCTTAGAGCTTTATGATAAGCGCTATATAAAAATGCCTAAATAAATAAATAAATAAATATTGTAATATTTATGGCAGAAAATCAAGTGCATAAAACAAATAGAATTGTACATGGCTTGGAAGTGGATTAATATGACATATAAGTGAAATAGAATTGTACTCTAGAACTACATATTATTAATCTTTTTCAGAGGGACTAAATCTGTGTTTTTCCCCTACATTAGTACCGGTACATGTTATGCAGAGCTGGCACCAAATTATATCACGCACAGGGTGTTCTGCAGATCTTTTGCTTTGTTAACTCAGGATGCAAAAGCTGACTATCAGTGCATTGTCAAATTTTCTTTGAGACTGAAAGTTGCGAATCATGGGAAAATGTAACCAATGCATAGTGAAATGAAGACGACCATGTAGGCC